CATTCCATGTCTTTTTTTTTTACGACTTGACGTATTTTGAAATAATTTGTTCGATTTACGAATGCCATACGAAACACTGTTTATTCATTTTGCCTTTAAGAAAAAACAGTTTAAGTACGTTTTTCGAATATCTCAGAAACAATTAAAAACAACATTGGTCGAATATATTTATGTTTGTATGTAGGCTATCAGAGAGCACTCGATCCGTACCAGTTTTACGCTATCGCATACATCCGCGTCAATTAAAAAGTTAAGTGTAGGTACTTTATAAAATGGTAAAGGGTCATGTGGCTACGTAGCTGCAGAGGAGTCGTTTAGTAGGTAGGTCTATTTACCGCCTTCGGGCCCGGTCTGTATCGTCTTCGTCTCATATACGCCGCGCGTCCTCTTAGGCGCGGGGATCTGGCAAGAAGCTCAGCTTGCGGCCCGAAAAAGTATATTTATTGGATCTGTGGGGTAATGGTTTTTTTTTGGGTCAAGAGTAAATCGCCGAACTTCCGCCCTCCACTGGGGATGGAGAGGGGAGTCGGACCGACTAAAAACCTGTCGCTCAACGACCCACGTCGGAACCTCGCATGAGACAGAACTCATGAGAAGGCAAAGGAGGAAAGTGGGTGGGGTAATGGTTGTTGATCATATTAAACAACACGACAGCGTAACCGTATTGTTTGTTAGCCGTGAGGTAGACTAGTGTTTCGGTTAGTTCGACAGCCGTTTTTCCAATGCCATTGAGACTCCGAGGTCATGTCATGATGTGATCGTCAATGAGCTCCGGTAACCGCCTTACTGGCCCGCGAATTCATTATGCATGCACCCACAAATCTTAGAAGTCATTGTGACCTAAAGTATAAGACGCTAATCCTCCTATTTTAAGGAAACTCAGATACAGCTCTTGTTCAAGAACCACTCCTGCTGTGATATCGTGAACTTGAACCCGGAAATTTCTATATATTTTCTTGATTACTTCTTTGAGTCGATAAAATTTGACGTCGGCCTCATGCCTCAAAGAGCGTGACGCATATCTATCTGAGTTTCGGTAACCACTTAATCCTCTAGGTCGTAAGTTTAACACCATCCAGTCCGATAAAAAACAGTTCATCTCTGCATCCTAGAGACAAGAACTAGTCCATTGATATTATTTCGTTTAGTAGGTATATCAGACAAGATATGTACATATATTATCTTCGTGTAGGACGTTCGATCATTTGTCTGTTAAGTTAATAACTAAAAATACCAGATTTTCTTGTTCCGAGGAAAAGCAGCGTCATTAACTCTTTGAAATAATGTTTTATTAAGAGAAAGCCTTTATGGGTGACTGTGTTTTGTAACAGCTTGAATATAAGAGAGTTTAATTTCGTTCCAACACTAGTAATGGCTTTAGACTCGGAATTATGAATCATAAATGACATTTATTTAATGTATAATTTTTTCAAAGTTTATATAATTCATTAATATAATAGGTAAGTTTCACTGGTGGTAGGACCTCTTGTGAGCCCGCGCGGGTGGGTACTACCACCACCCTGCCAATTTCTGCCGTGAAGCAGTAATGCGTTTCGGTTTGAAGGGCGGGGCAGCTAGTTGTAACTATACTGGAAACCTTAGAAATTATATCTCAAGATGGGTCACTCATTTACGTTGTGGATGTCTATGGGCTCCAGTAACCACTTAACAACAGGTAGGCGGTGAACTCGTCCACCCATCTAAGCAATAAAAAAAGGTATCACCTCTCTGCCTATGTATGCTGTGAAGCAATGTCCTTTTTTAAATACAACTGTGATTTAGCCTTATATATGAGTCGTCTATTATCAAAGGTGGCAATCTGTGCATTTGGAAAAAAAAATGTTATTGATATGTCAATACAGATTGATTTGAATATAATCGTCTCCTTCAAAGAATACGGTTCAAAACCTGCATTAAATAAAGGTTAATAGTTAACCTGTTATTTATCTAAGATGTCGTTCCGAAGAGTTTTGTGACTGCCAATGGAATACANTATAATCGTCTCCTTCAAAGAATACGGTTCAAAACCTGCATTAAATAAAGGTTAATAGTTAACCTGTTATTTATCTAAGATGTCGTTCCGAAGAGTTTTGTGACTGCCAATGGAATACAAAGTCAATAATTCGTTTTTCTGATTTACCAATAATTGTCCAAAAGTCAGATTGCCGGCTTTGATAATAGTCGACTCATATGTAAGTCTTGGACGGCTCATATAACGTCTACATAGAAAGCGGATCTGTAAGCTCGTCTGCCCATACAGAGCAATACATAAACTGCATTAAGGTAAAAGCACTAATGCTCGACATTGAACTAAAAGATGACACTTTAATAAAAAAAATATTCTAATAAGGAAACTAAACATTTAAATAACATTGCTATTGATGTTAAAGACACCTAGTACCATATATGATACATTGTCAAAAGCTTGCGTACAGTGTTAGAAGCAAATTTCAAAATGGCATCATTTGACAACAAACAAAGTGAGCAGGTTGACGTTTTGCGCGTAATTCTTAGCGTTTTCCTTAAGCCATCTGACTTTTAACAGATATGATTTTGTCTTATATTTATAATTATTGGCTACTGTTGGTTTCGATATTATAAATGTATGAAATTATTGATTTATTAGGACCATTTCCTTGTTATTTTGGTTTGTTTTTGTACAAATTTTAAGTGGTGTTTACTATTAGTACCAATAATGAATCAAAACCTAAAAGATGACACGTGTGTCTTCTACTAGGGTTACATCGAACTGAATTTGTTAGCTTAATTTTCTTCAAATTCAGCCTTTATGTTGTAAAACAAAAGTTTCAATCTGAGTTTCGTTCATTTTACACTAGTCTAACTAAACGAAGACAGTGTCAACTATTAGGGTATACCAGATGTCAACTATTAGTATCAATTAATTTCAGCTTAAGTTTCGAGCACGATGCCGCCAGTAAAGGGTCAGATGTTTCAATACTCTGAAGCCAATATTGAAGAAGCCATAAAAGAATTACTGGTGGCCCTGAGGCCTTTCCAGTTTCACAAGGACAGAAGGGGCGGGATTTGCTAACAGCTACCCGAGCGCCTCCAAGGGAGACCTAACAACTCAAGAGTAGCTGCTTCGCGAATGAATCTACTACCGGATCGGGATCGCGACCTGCTGAGAAGATCCGGCGAGAAACTCAACGGGCTGATGCTTAGGTCAGGTTGCACGTCGAACTCTTTGCCGAGTTCGACGAGTACGATTACCGGGATCTCTTCTCCTAGTGTTAAAGCGGAAGGCGTCTAATGCAAGGGTTATTGGATCTGATGGATCCGTAAGGAGGTTTCTAGGGCGACGACGGTGACTGGCTCCTGCGAGGTCAGGATTCGGGGAGTAGTCAGCGGCGGCAACGATAAGGCGATTACCATGACGCATTGCCTTATCGAAGTAACGTTCCGACGCGGACTTCATGTATTTTCTGATCGGTTCGAGGTCCAAGTCGTCGTGTAAGTCGACGTTCCTCACGAACCACGGGGCTCCGACTGCTAACCTGCAAAAACGAGATTGTAGTAATTGGAGGGTGTCTACGTGTGTGCGGGCCGCGTGAGCAAACACCACACTCGCGTAAGTCATGACCGGCTTTATGTAAGCTTTGTAAAGTGTCACCTTGTTCCGAAGGGACATTATACTCCGCTTACAGATCATGGGGTAGAGTCTGCCGAGAATAAAAGCGGCACGGTCGCGGACTGATTTTATATGAGGGTGGAATGTCATGGATGCATCCAGGGTGACTCCCAAGTACTTGACCTTCCTGGTCCAGGGTATGAGGTGGGGCGTTCCGACAGCTACTGCGGCAAAGAAATTTGGAGTTCCACGAGTAACTTTATTAAATAAAGTTAAGGGAAAGACACCTATTATGCGTAAAATGGGAAGAAGTTGTTATTTAACCGAAGATATAGAAAAAATACTCGTAACATGGGTAAAAGCTATGGTTAAACAAGGGTTTCCAATAGGAAAAGATAATTTACAAGATAGCGCTAAGAAAATAGTTGATGATCTTAAGATTGATTATAATTGTTTATAATAAAACTAACGTTAAAGTCGTGTCTATTATTAGTGCCAACTGATGTCAATTTTTGGTGGATTTGATTTTCGATGCTGTCATCTTTTAGTGTCTATGGCAAAACTAATAAGTTTGTAATTTTTTGTAGAAACTACAACAGTATTGAAATATTTTATATGAAAAAATTGATCTCTAAATGTTGCTCTAACAGTAAAAAAAAAGATATAACATAATTTTTGATAAATACATTTGATAACTGAGAATGAAGTTCGATTTGTCCTTAAAGTGTCTAGCATTAGTGCTTTTACCTTAACATATAAATTGTTTGACTATAAAAAAATCATTAGTTATCTTGGTGAAATGATTTTTTTGTGTATGTAAGAGTTTACATGTAATAAAACACGTGTTTTAAGGCACTAAATGAGGTGAACAAGTTAATTGCAAACAATGGCTCTGGTCGTGACGTCACTCTTCAAGATTAAAATGTTTTAATTTGCATGATCTTGTCAATGAAATCAGTAGGGATAATCATGATATAGGATTGTTTCACTGCGCTTTTTACATGACTTTCTCAAAGCTTCAAAATTTATATAAATCGTTTCGGAAAGTACAAACCATGTTTTGAGGAGGGGTGATGGAATTCTACTGGTAGTAGGACCTCTTGTGAGTCCGGGTAGGTACCACCATCCTGCCTATTCCTGCCGTGAACCAGTAATGCATTTCGGTTTGACGGGTGGGGCAGCCGTTGTAACTATACTTGAGACCTTAGAACTTATATCTCAAGGTGGGTGGCGCATTTACGTTGTGGATGTGTATGGGCTCCAGTAACCACTTAATACTAGGTGGGCTGTGAGCTCGTCCACCCACCTAAGCAATAAAAAAAAACGTCGGAGTACCTTAAACGAACTGGTCATTTAAGAATGATATCAGTAAAAATACAATCAAAAAATTCCTTAACTAATATTCATTCAGATATCACAGACAGGCTGATAGCGATGGGTTTCCCGGCCGAGAAATTGGAAGGAGTATACAGGAATCACATAGACGAAGTGTATAGGTTTTTAGAGACAATGCACAAGGATCACTACAAGATATACAACTTGTGCTCCGAGAGGACATACGACCCGAGCAAGTTTCATAAGAGGGTGAGTTTATTCATTACTAATCTATGATCTATCTTCTTTTATATATGTATATAAAAATGAATTGCTGTTCGTTAGTCTCGCTAAGATTCGAGAACGGCTGGACCGATTTGGCTAATTTTGGTCTTGAATGATTTGTGGAAGTCCAGAGAAGGTTTAAAAGGTAGATAAATATGAAAATGCTCGGAATTAAATAAAAATAACAATTTTGTTTTTCCTTTTGATGTGTCCCCCGTCGGACGGATTCCTTTTGTTAGTTTTAAGTTTATTTTATACAAAAGTTTAGGTCTTTTATTTATCGATTGAGGCACTACGAAGTCTGCCGAGTCAGCTAGTTTGTTTATAATTATCTCTTGTCTTTGTGTACTAATCTATAGGATGACCAGCCGTAATCGCCCGCTTCGTTGGACATTTAAAATTAACATTATTATTTATTGTCATTATTATTAGAGAGTCCAACACTCATATAAATATTAGCCTATCCATTAAGTACATGTATTTTCTACATGGATACCAAGTTTCAAGTCAATCGGATGCATGGTTTAGTAGTTATAACGGAACATCCGTAAAAACCACTTTAGATTTATATATTAGTATAGATGATGATAATGAAGTCTTTGTTTGTGACGACGATAGAGACGGAACGCGATGATGGTTTACATTTCGTGCTACTACCGTTCGCCCAAAACGATACCTCCAATGAACACTACGCTAACTCCAAACTCGTAGGTTTACAGGAGGAGCGTTTAAACGAAAAAAGTTGAAGAAATCTTTATTATTGCAGATATATTTATGGTTTTTTCTTGTGTAACTAGCTGATTTACTCTTGCTTCGAACCCCATCAGTAATAAATTTGTAATACTTTTAAAATAGTGAAGCGATTTGAGTGAAAAACGAAAATTTCAAAATTTTGAGTTAGAGTAGTGTTTATTGGAGGCATCGAAAAGAACTAAATTTGCCCATGATATGACAATCTTTAGACTGGGCGGTAGTCTACGACTGCCGGGCAGGATTTCGATTCCCACATCGGGCAAACGTTCGTGTGGCGAATAGTTTAATGTTTGAGATTTTTACATGTTTTTTCACTGGCGGTAGGATCTCTCGTGAGTCCGCGCGAGTAGGTTTCACCACCATGATGCATATTTTTGCCGTGAAACAGTAATGCGTTTCGTTTTGAAGGGTTGGGCAGCCGTTGTAACTATACTTGAGACCTTAGAAGTTATATATCAAGGTGGGTGGCGCATTCAAGTTATAGATGTCTATGGCCTTTAGTAACCACTTAACTCCCAGTGGGCTGTGAGCTCGGCCAAACACTTAAGCAAAAAAAAAACGGTAGATAAATGTAGGGCAAAATTATACTGTTTTTATGTGAATAAACAGATATATCTGTTCTTGTTTGTAAAATATGCTACTGGGACTTAGGTCTCATTTCTCAAGATGTTCTCAAGTGTACTATTACATTGCAGTGTATAAAGACTTCAATGAAAACTTAGTCTTTTCGTTTACGTGTTACCATAAAGTTCAACGAACAAAAAACAACGTTATTTAACAGCGAAGAAATGTATGCACGTCGTGGCTCTATGCGCTAAGTATTGGCGGAATTTGCCCTTGAAATCTAGTTTTAATTGTTAGTGCGCAATGCATGTGAACTTTGTGGACACGAGGCGCTTTATCTCGCGTCTTATGTTACAATGGTTCAATGTAAACACCATTGGCTTATTGGCGATATAGAAAGGACTTCTAGAAAAAACGTTCTAAAGCCATCGCGAAATCCAAACTTGAAGTGGTCGTGGCCTAAAGGATAAGATGTCCGGTGCATTCGTATCTAGCGATGCAACGGTGTTCGAATCCCGCGGGCCGGTACCATTTTTTGTAACGAAATATGTAGTCGACCTAATTTCAAGCTTAACTTCCGCGGTGAAGGAAAAAAATCGTGTAATAAAAATCAAACCCGCAAAATGACTACATATAATTTGTACTGTTGGTGGTAGAATATCTTGTGAGTCCGCACGGGTGGGTACCACCACCCTATCTGTTTCTGTCGTGAACCAGTAATACTTTTCGGTTTGAAGGATGGGGCAGCCTTTGTAACTATACTGAGACCTTAGAACTCAAATCTCAAGGTGGGCGGCGGCATTTACGTTTTAGATGTCTACAGACTCGGGTAACTACTTAACATCAGGTGGTGGTTGTTGGGTCCATAAGTAGGTAAATAGGTGATTCAACTGTCGTTGACCGATCTTGGGTGGAGGTAAATGCTTCGTTAAATAACCGCTTAATTGATAATGGAATAACATTGTTTGATGAAAATGAAACACATATTATTATAGCTATTTACGCCATTTGGTAAATGAGCGGTCTGGTGGTACCTATATCTGCTGCATTGGCATAGTAAGGTTCTGTTTGAAGGCTGTTCTCGTCGAATTCGTGGCTTGCGACGAATAGCTCGGCGAGTAAATTAACCCATAGACACAACCCACTGAGTTTCTCGCCGTATCTTCTCAGTAGGTCGCGTTTCCGGTCCGGTGGCAGATTCTGCGAAGCAATGCTCTTGTTAGGGTTAGTGTTAGCAACGTCGTCAGGTTAGAGCCCTGTGAGCTCACCTACATGTTAGGGTGAAGCTGAAATAGCCTCTCAAGGCTATCAGCATAGGTAGAAAAAAAAGAAAGAAAGATGGTTACTAATCATCCTGTCTATTTCTGTCGTGAAGTACTCATGTTTTTCGATTTAAAGAAGGGGAGATTACTTATACAATAACACAATTGAGAGTTCGACCTTCGTATCTTAATGTAGATTTCTAGACTTTCTAATAACCATTTAACATTAGATGGACCGTTTACTCGTTCAACTATCTAATTTATAAAAAAAAACTAGCCGCACTCACCCTTAGCAAAGTCGTCAGGTTTGAGCTCTGTGAGCTCACCTATTCGCTCGGTTACGCTAGCATAGCCTCCAAGATTACCAGCATAGATGGGAAAAAAAGTGAAGGGTAGAAGAAATAAGCCATACTACGTTGTTTGTTATTTTGGAAAAAAAAAACTTGTTCCCGCTAACAATTACTGCTAAACTTTACTAATATGAATCTGCAAAAAGATACTTATTTTTTTCATAAATCATGAATAATTTGAGGTAATTAAAATTTTAATAGGTCTGTAACGGAACGAAAATGTATTCTGATCGTTCGGTGCTCAATCACCCCCAGCGTTGTCTCTGATGACAAAAACGGTCCCGCGCAGAAATGTATTAATTTTAATGAGCCACCGAAATCAACAATTTGTCATAGAGTCAAACTGTAGTTCCGTCGTCTTAATTAAATTTTACCTCGCTTTAAATATTTGAAGGTAAGGTTGCATTTAACATTATTTTCTTCCTTTCTTTACCGTAATTAATTGTATTTTTTTTTTGCTAAGTACCGCAATCTGTGTTCTTGTCTTTTGCTAGCACTGTTGATATAGCCCTTAGCTACGACGTATCTTCGTGTGTGCTTTGCTTCTTTTAATTTCTTACTGCATACAGAAACGTGTCGTTCGGATTGTCGATAATTCCATTCTCACGGATCGTTTGGAACCTCTGGGTCTGCGGAGGGACTTCGGTTCCCTCTGTAGTTTGTACCGTATGTTCCATGGGGAGTGCTATGAGGAATTGTTTGTTTACCATCATCTCGTTTTTACCATCGCAACGCCCCCCATCGGAGTAGAGTTCATCCATACTACCTGGAGCCACTGTATTCATCCACAGTGCGTTTCCAGAGATCTTTTTTGCCACGTACCATCCGACTTTGGAATGAGCTCTCTTCTCCATGGTGTTTCCCGAGCGCTTTGACATGTCCTTCTTCAAACGAGGCTTGTGGAGAGTATTAAACGGTAGGCAGCGGCTTGGCTCTGCCCCTGGCAGTGCTGACGTCCATGGCAATAAAAAAAAAGATGAAGACTAAGTTTTTCAGTACGTTCAGAAGTAATGAAATGAAATTAATTTAGAGCACCTAAAACTGTTGTATTGCTTACAAGTGTGTGTATTAACTTATGCACATAATTCTGCATACTAGAACCTCATTCGTTGTCTCAGAACATACAGAGAAAGCATTTCGAATAAATCGTAATGACCAATTTCACCAGGTCTACTGTTTGATTAAAAACACTTAGATCTGAACGGGGGCCAAGGTCACTGTTAAGGGGTTAATCGTATTACATAAGTCATATCAACTAACCGCACGTCACGTCGCCATGTACAAGTAAATTAAATTCACTGCTGAAGTGAGTCACCTTCTACTTTGAGAATACGTGTTTGGTATCACGCGCCAACTGTCAAAACGTTACACATTAATTTAGACCTTAACTCGTCTGGCTACGATCAAAAATGGTATCAATTTAAATTTGACAGGTGATATGGCAACCCTTTTGTTTGATCTGGTCGCGGCATGTGTTTTTTTTTTTTGTCGCAACAGATAATTTATTTAACAGTTGTTAAAACTTAAATATCAGCTGTTTTAATATGCACATGTGGTGGTTTCTGTTTTTTTTTTTTTTCGTCAATGTAATGCGCGCGCCATGTACTTACTTGGTGCTTCCGATGATTATTGATTTAGTTTTGGTGTAGTGAATACGGAACAGTCCTGGAGCTTCCGTCGGGCGTTGTTTGTATCTAGCTAGAATCGAACTGTAAGCTATGTTTGTTGCTATGATGATGCTATGTTTGTTTGTTTGCTTTACGTTTCCTAGTCATGATGATTCTTATTTGTTTTGCCATAAGGCACATTGTTTTTACTGTAAGTTGAAGAGTGTTATTTTTACAGTAACGACTTCTACTTTTGTAACTGACATGGATCGTGTCATGTGGCGACTACTGAAACTAATAGCCCATAGATGTCATAGTGTGAATTGTGCTGCTGGCTTTGATAAGTGAGATCGAAGTTTCTCGCTAAATTGGCCTGTTTTGCCGATCTCAAAATGCAGTTTTTTTAAAGCTTTTTTTATTGCTTAGATTGGTGGACGAGCTCACAGCCC